TCTAGCACATATTGCGCAGAATTTATTCTTGACACCCATAAATAAAATCTTTCTTGTTCTGTATCCTACAAGTGCAGCCTAAAAAAATTAAAAAATTTAACATAATATATAGTCCCTACCTATGTTAGATAATTTTTGTTGAAATATAATACTTATGTACCTACATTGAGTAGGTTATTAAATGTTATTAAATTATCTGTTCTACTTTATACTAATATAATACAGTATTATAAACTAGTATATGGCACTATACATTATAAATAAAAATAGAATATTGCTCTTATTTTACTATAAGATATTCTCTATACTTATTCTACTATTATATTATTATGTTTAGTAAAAATTATTACTTACCATACCAGAAGGTGAATTGTACATAGTCCTATACGACCTCTTACACCAGCTTCCATCAGCTACGACTGCCACTAAAGGTGTTCCATCGACATCGACTTCTCCTTCTGCAACGGCTAGTTCAGCTTCAACTTTTGCTGCTTCTTTCATTGTTTCTAAGGCGGTTTCTTCGTACCCTTTACATATAAGATCGTGCTCAGCCTGGTATGTCTTTATATGAATAGTTGGTACTTCCATTGCACTCATAACCTCTTGAAGCTGACTATAACCACATCCAATGTTCAAGACTCCAATGACTACTGATGTATTTATGGGCGTAAATACATTGTTTTCAGTACCCACAGTCTTTTTAATTTGACACATACTGCACTTAAAAGTGAAGATTGATTTAAAACCAATTCGTTTCTCACCAATGACAATCATATTTTTAAAACTACAGTCAAATGGGTCATGCTTGTCAATATTTTTAATTTCCTCGAATAAATTAAATATATTTACAATTCTTCTACCACATACTTCAATTTCTTCCGTATTATTCTTCGCCGGTGAATCTGAAATGCATAAATTTGGATATTCTTCGTATTGTGTTTGGTCTTTTGTGCATAATATTTCTGATTTATTGATTGGTGATATATTTAAAACTGTATTGAATAACGAAGATGACACATTTACTTCTTTATTTATTGGTGATGAACAACTAGGTTGTAAATGATTAGTCATATCCAACAATGAATTTTGGTACCCGGTAGTATCCAGAGGGGTAGCTAATGAAATATCATCATTGGTTAACAAGTAGTTACATTTCCCGTGGATGTTGGTATTCGTAGATATTGATGATGTCGTTGATTGAAATGCATTGCTAGAGAAATACCCGATATCATCAAAATTAAATTATCCTGGGTTTATATAATTGGTCCAGTCATATAAGCTCCAAAATTTGTGTTTTGAGGAATTAAATCGGAAAGTTTTGAAACTTCGCAAATAGTTTGGTTATAGGTTCCTGATTAACAAAAAAAAAAGCCATCCCTCCGAGGTCCGGAAGTGTCCGCCATATTAGATTTTATGTGCGATTTTTCAGTTTTTTTAAATTTTCTTTGAAAATAATAATTCTAACAATATATTAAAAACCTAATATTATACATTTTCAAGCTTTTTGACTCAAAGAATACAATTTTTATATTTAATAATATTATATATATTAGATTCTGAACGGAGTGAAGAATGTATTGATTTTACCATGATGATGATTTTTTTTTTTATTTTTTTTTTTTTGTGTCTGTCGACACGATTTGGGGCAGTAAAAATGCTTCGATTGCCTTATGTAGCAACTTTTCTGAAAGGAAAGTGACTCTTATTGGTACTTTAGGGGGTCAAAAGTGAAATATTTTCAATATTTTTTTAATGCGTCGGGAAAAACCCTGCAAAATTAAGGCAAAAACGGTACATTTTACGCAAAACTAGTTTTCGACAAAATCGAATTTTTTGTTGTTGTTATAACTCCAAAACTAATCGATGTAAATACTTGAAATTTTCACCAAATGTTTAGATTAGCGTTCTTTATACACCGTTAAATTTTCAAAGTATTTTGACTTTTATTGAGCTAATTATAGACAATTGAAATTTTATATTTTTATAAGTATTTTTTTTTAAAATAACGATAAAATTTTTTTGGCCGGCCAGAAAATCTTGAAAATTTAATACAAGGTTTCTTATAAGTTGTTCCTTAACTGATAAAAAAATATCCAAAATCGTAAGTCACAATTTTTTTTTATAAGTGCTCAAAGTTCCAATTTATACGAAATATGTAAACATTGCGAAAATTTGCAAATAATTTTGTGGTTGAAAAATCGTAAAATTTTTTTCTGTTATAACTAAGTTTTGAAAATTTGGTACAAGGTTTTTCATTAGTTTTTCTTCAATTATCTGTAAAAAAAACTCTACTGGATTCAGACAAAAAAAATTTATGAGTGTTTGAAATTTAAATTTTTACAAAAACACGTTAAACAACGGTTTAGCCTCAAACGATTTTTGCTATTTGTTTTTTTTTTCCAAAAAGTATAAGTTGTAGAAACTTGAAAATTTTATTAGTTGTTTATATTGGCATTTTCTTTATATAATTTTATTTTCAAAAGATTTCACTAATTTTTAATCAATTTATAGGCATTTGAAATATTCGATTTTTTTTGATTTTTTTTTTTATAAATGTTGATAAAAAAAATTTAGCTCGGACAAAATACTTGAAAATTTAATAGAAGGGTCCACATAAGTTGTTCTAACTCCCATTCAAAAATTATAAAAATACATAGGCACAAATTTTTTTAATAAGCGTTTATAAGTGCGAATATTGACAAAATTCGTCAAAATCATGTATATTTGCTATGTATGTTGTAGGTAAAAATTAATAAAAATTTTTGTATTAGAAGCTAACAATTTAAATTTTAATACAAGGTTGTCCATAAGTTCGGCTTACCATAATTGTAAAAAATACGAGGGTAATTAAAAAAACAGCTAATATTGACATAAAATTACATGTAAAACATAATATAATATATAATATTCTAGACTGACAAATCATATCGGTTTTTGGAATTTGCTCTCTAACTCAAAAAACCAAATAACGTAAACACATGAAATTTTCACCAAATGTTTATATTGACGTTTTCTATGAATAATTAAGTTTTCAAAGTATTTTGACTTATTTATAGATTAAATTGTCAAAATTTTTGATTTTTCTAAATTTTTCGTTTCAAAATAAAATATACTTATTACAATTAATAACAATGTATTATATTCTAGACTAACATATCATCTCCGTTCAGAATCGTTTTTCGTATACAATGATACCTATCATTGAATTCAAATTTAACAAATCCATTGTACCCCAACTGTACAGCAGAGCGAGGCTCATCCGGTTTTTTTTTTTTTTTTATTTAATTATGAACGGAGATGATTTGTCAGTCTAGGATATATTATATTTAAATATTGTCATATATTCTATTTTGAATCAAATTCAAACATTTAAGTAAAAGTTTTTTTTGGTTATCAGGAGCCTATAATCAAACTTTTGGAAAAGTTTTAAAACTTTTCGATTTAATTCCTGAAAAAAATCATTAAATGACTGGACTAAATATAAAAGTTTTTATTAAAATGGTGATATAGCAACTTACGTGGTTTTAGTAAATGCCTTTACATTCCCTTTATTTTTTTTTTCTGTGGGATAACGGCTTTCTATGCTTAGGTTTGTACTTGCTATTCATTTTAACTTATAAAGACAAAACTTCACTAAACAGTAGAATAATGTTGGTTACGTCAGACGATTGTCTAATGACTGAAACTTCTAAATCATTGATAATAATATAAACGATAGGTTTATTGAATTATATTTTGTTATCCTGAGTGTAGCCCTCAGTTCACAGTAAATATACGAAGTACAACAAATTACAAAATATCTAATAATAATATCCTTATCTACATTTCGCTTGTGCCGCGTCGGGTGATGATTGCGAGATGGTTGAGAATGCTACGCGGGGAAATTTTACGCACCCGCAGACACATGTCAAAGTAATTGTTCCAAACAAATGAATAGTGAAAATTTCACACTGAATACACGATTCTACTTTTAACAGTAAGCTCCCATAAATACTCCGATTTAAGTTTTGAAAAAACTTATAAATTCTTAATAACATTTCCAAGGCATCGCTCGTGATACAATTTAAAAAATATTTTTAATTATTTAATTATTTTTATTTGAAAAGTTGCAATTTTTCAAAATTTGAAATCATTTAAAAAAATATTATTGAAAATAAAAATTCAAAATGTATTCCGACCGATGCATCAACCAAGTACTGAAAAATCTAAATCCGTTTTCAAAACTTATGTCAGATGACGCATTCTTGAGTATGGTTAAATTTAGAATGTGCTATTTTCTATCAAAAACGGGCTGGTGTAAAGGCCCCTTAAGTTAATGTATATCTCTTATTCAATAATATTTAATAATATCTATCTTATTTTATAATATCATAGATTATGGAATAATTCTAATAATATTAGAGTACAATAATTATTAAGAATTATTTAATCATAATATGTACCTATTTTTATAATATAAATTTACGGCCACTTTTCATGACAATGGTAATGTGATTCCTGGTGACATGGCTATTTTTACTCAATAGTCTGAAGGCGGTTGAGTACTTTTCCCGAGACCGGTGGGACCCCAATTAGTAGTTAATACCGAGATAAATATCATTGTCTCATTTAAAAATTCTTCGTAATTTTTATTTTTTATATTTTTCCAAATTCCATGAACTTGTTGTATTCGATAACAATGTATTTTTCTGGTCTTAAAAATCAAAATTAACTTAATTGGGATTAATGAAAAAAATAATGTGTTAATTTCAAATTAATTTGTACGGACTCAGTCATTTCGTCGCGACTGTTTCGCCGTCGGACTATTCGCCGCTATCCTATATTTTTTTTTCGTATAACGTCAATAAAAAATGATTGGTTAACCATACAATTTTAAAATTTTGATACAATGTTTTCCACAAATTGTTTTTTAGTCGCGTGAAAAAATTTCAAAAATCCGCATTCACAATTTTTAAAAATAAGCGTTTTAATTTGAAACGCCGATAAAAATCACGAAATCTGCCTATTTTTAGTAGTTAAAATTAATAAACATTCCAATATGTATACTTGTGTAAGATTTTTCAAAATGTAATATAATGAAGTTGCTCTTTCCAGCGAACTAAAAAAGTTTCCCGGAGCAGCGCAAAAAAATGTTATAAACGTTAGAAAATTATATATTAATGAATAACTGAATGATAATTTTATTATATTTCTGTTTTTATTTTTAATTTATATAATTTGAATTAAAATATGTAATGAGAGTATAAGACAGCATAAAAAATTATTTTCAAATATTATTAATTACTAAATGGGTGGTGGCATGTATACTGACCACCATAATTTCTCTCTAAATGGTCAATAGTAAAAATAACAACCACCTCAATAAAGACACTCAAAGCCCCCCCTCCTAAAATTTGGGTTTTAAAAATATTAAATTATTATTCCTTGTGTATATAACTGTAAAAAAGTATCAATTTGTAAGGTTAAATATAAAAATTTAATTATACCCTTTAAGGATTATTATGCTTTAAAAAATCTTAATAAATGTTTTTAGTTATAGTTTTAATTAGTTATAAGTACAATATTTTCTTAGGTTGGAAGGAAGGCCGCTGTTGATTTAGATACCTTTTTTGATTTGTTGTCCAAGTATACAATTTTTAACGAAAAAGGAGAATTAATCAGCTCTACGTGTTCCGTATGGCATACAATATCTGAAGAACTAAATGGAAAATTAAATCCCAAAAGTGTTTACATAAAAGGTTTAAAAGATACTGATAGAGTTACAACGAAGCTAAAAAAAATGAATGGTTATGATGTAATTGAAGAAAACAATCATAGTTCTACGGAATCAAATAATTCAAGTGACGAATTATCTTCATCATCGTATTACAAACCGGGTAAGAAGATTTTTAATCTTTGCATTCCATACGATATGTACCGAAATTTTATCCAAAGAAAGTTTTTTATCAACGAAATAATAAAAAAAGAGCATACGAAATTCTAAAACAAGAAACCTGGACAGATATTATAAATGATGAGTTTCTTAAAGTATATAAATTACCATGTAATTTTATATATAAACGTGCAAAAGTATATAACTCAAGTAACAGTCAATATTTTCTGAAATTCCAAGCTAAGTGTAAAGATAAATGTTGTGGTGCTGAAATGGTTGGTTGGAGTAATAATAAACCTTCGGAAGGAGAGCCACTTGAATTACAAATTTCAACTATTGATACAAAAGGCTTAGAAAGTAAACATAAAACAAAACGACCAATAAAAGGAAAAAACGTTTTGCAGTAGGATTGGAACTTGATAAAGATTTGGCTTGTAATTGGAGAAGAAACAATATAAGTGATTTGGAATACGGAAGAACTTCACCACATAATTTATACCAATTAGAAACTTTGCGAAAGGTCAAACAAGAGAGTAAGGACAAGAGATAAGGTATAAATTATATGTGTCCAATCCAATCGCTTATCGAGTTCAAACATAATTCTAGTTACTCAGGGTCAATACATTCAATTGAAATTGATCCTTTTTATGTACATTACTGGACAAATCATCAAATTAGTATATATAAAGATATATGTAAAGAATATTGCAAATTATCTATAGACGCATCAGGTGGATTTATGAAAAAGCTTAAACGAACGTCATTGGGTTTGCTATCTGCAAGTATATTTTTATACGTAGGTATAGTTAGTACTGCTTTTGGTCATATTTCTGTTGCTCAAATGGTATCGGAAAAGCATGATACTCTGTCTATTTTTCAATGGATAGCAGTTTGGATGTCATCAAGAATACGACCTCCAAATGAAGTGGTTTGCGATTACTCAAGAGCATTGCTAGCGGCAATATCCAAAGCATTTTGCGATGGAATAGGTTTGAACGATTACGTAAATTACGTATTTAAAGTACTAATTGGCATTGAAAAAAAAATCCCAACTACCAATTAAATTGGACGTAGCTCATATGATAAAAATATTTTGCCGCATAAAATGTTTAACTGGATTGAAAAATAAATATTTAAAAGAGTTTTATGTTCGAGGATTTTGACTTCTCATGACATCAGATGACATTAAGACATTTGAGAATATATTAGAAGCTATTTTGACTGTAATGTTAAGTGAAACCGATGGTTGGTCAAACAACGTTGAAACACCATCGGAGAAAGCTAGATTGTATATATTAGATCTGATTAAAGGTATTTGTGATGATGAATTAGAAAACAAAACCACCTTTGGTCCTGAATCACTAGCAGATTTTGACAATTACATTGAAAATGATGAAAATGAAAATACATATTTACAAATATTTTTAGAAAATATAAAGCAGAAAAGCATAAGAAATTCTTCAGTAGTAGGAAACAGGATATCAGCATATTATTTAAAGGAATTATTACCAGATACAATGCGGCTCTGTAAGCATTTTCCCTTATGGACAAATGTTTTGAGTAATTTGTTTCAGTCTCCATATCGTATTGCATCATCAGCATCGGTTGAGAACAATTTCAAAGAGCTAAAAACTCAAATTTTAAAATTCGATGTTCGCCCAATAAGAGCTGATAAATTTATTCTCAAACATCTTACGAGTATCGACAGTAATGTGAAACTTTTTAAAAGTAAGGAGCTTAGATACGAGTCATCTTTCGAATCAAAATTACCAAAGTCAGAGTATTATGAACTTTCTGAGAGTGAAAATTTGTGTAGAAATGATGACAAACAATGTATAAGGAATCCTTTAAACTCTTCCATTGAAAATATTGATGAAGTTATTCAAAATAATAAAACAGAATATGATATTGAAATGTCAAGTGATGAATCTGAAAAATCAATAACTGCATATGAAAATTGGAAAGGAAAAGGTATTGTGAAAAAGTTATTTCCAAAAAAAAAACTATTATAAAAAAACCAAGGCAAACCAAATATATGGGTTCAAAAAAAAGATATTGAGCGTATTTTGTATACCGTAAAAACTCGATCGACGTTAAACAGTTTGCTGATAAATGGAAACTTAGCTACACCAATAATTGTATCCAAAAAAACGGTATTTAGTACAAAATACATGCCCATTTGATGCTCTTTCAGTTTTAGTTGTAACTGCTTATACGGATATATTGAACTACCAACATTTTGTTGATACATCAAATAATTGTTTTCTACAATTTTGTAAAACACTAGCTTTAAAAGGGACGTCTCGCTCAATTTACAAACAAAAAGTTACTCTACTATCAAAAATTTTTGACGTTGATTCTGGAGTAACTGATATAAATCTTATTAATGCAAAGTGTAATGTCAATTATTTAATTTCAAAATACTTGATTGATGTACCTTCGGCGTATGAAACAAAAAATTACTCTAACTGTACCACAAATAAACAATTTCATAACGCAACAATTATATTAAATATTACTAATGGGTTCAAAACAATAGAAGATGGATTATACAAATATTTAAACTCAATAAGTTCAGATTGTTCAGTGTTTCACGGGTATCATGAAAACTTCAAGAGAATTGAACTCTCACTTATTCATTGAAACAGATGCATATTCAGAGTTCAATTCATTTGCACTAAATGAATACCCAGAGGAAGTGAACATTCATAAAAATAGGTAATCAAAACTAATATAACAATTACAATAATATACTTAAGATAAACAATTTCAAAGCATGATCACTTTAATATAATACATAATATTAGTTGCAATTAATACAACGTATGAATTACCAAACACAAAAGTCTATAATACGTAGTATTTAAAAAGAAGACATTTTGAGAAAGAAAGACATTTTGAGCATGTATTAATTTCCATTATGTTATAACATAAAATAATAAAAATTGTTGATAATATATGTTTTTACTTATAAAATAAATATATTTTGTCTTTTAGTTTTGTTTTGGTTGGCGGAATTGGTTTTTAAAATGGTCATTATATTGCCTATGTAAAAAAAACTTATGGATGGGAAACACATAATGACTTATCAAGAAAAATAAAAACAAATTCGTCAAATATTAAAATTCACCCACATGTATTATTGTATGTTAAATTGTAATTTTTTTTTTTTTTTTATTG